TTTTTTTGTTTGTTTATTTACTGGGTTTAGGTAAAAAATAAAAATGGCAGTCCATTTCCTAGACTCCCAGTGACTGCCAAAGTCTGATCTAGTGGTCCCAGTTCTAGGGAAGCTCCAGCTGAGGTGTATGACAGTTTAACTAGGAAGGAAGATCCTGGTGTATAAATGATGTGGAGGGCACTTTTACCAGACTTTATTAATATTCAAGAGATAGAGAAGGATACCATATGCCAAGAACACTGTTAATGTTAAGTTAGTTCTAGGAGTATTTAAAGGGACTTGTGCAGAGACTCAAAGGAATTTTGAGTAGAAGGGATTGTATGTCACAAATAACTAGTGAATCTTGTCTTTCTCCCCTCCACTTCTTGGAGGAAAAAATCAATGTGAAACAGTAAGTAATTCACCTTTTTTTTTTTTCTTTTGTGGAAAGTGGATTAAAAAAGTTTTGTTATTTAATCCCACAACTGCTTCCTAGGGAGTGTGGATCTTGATAAGTATCAAGAAAGCCTTCTCCACCCCCCAGGTTTTATTTTCTTTGGACCTCTAGATGGCTTAGTTATGAAGCCAAGTAATATGACCTGCTAAGGATTTGAGACTGGGTTATGTAAGATGAAATACCAGTAGAAGATCCCCTTGAATGAGCTATATTAAGAATGATATATAATGAGATAATGTTCAATTCAGATTTATTTTTGTGGCTCTGATGAAGACTCCCTCTTCCATTGCCTTGCTTCACAGTGAATTTTTTTTTTCCACAGTGAATTGTTAAGAAACACATGAATGAGTTTTGTTTCTTTGATGTCAAATGGGTTTCATGTCTAGGGGAGAGACAGAGTGTGCAAAGAAGGAACTATAAAAATGGGAGCATTTTGCAGTGAATTTGAATGTCTGAAGGATATGGAATTGTTTGATTCCAGCTAACAGTAATCTAGCTCGAAAAAGAAGAATAATCCGAAGTGACAATGGATACATAAGAATCATTCTGATGAGGTGGTGGGGGAAGTCAGGTCTGAGTTCATTGCTGAGTGATTCAGAAGCAAGTACATAGCGACAGAGTTGTGTGGATAATTCTTTTAAATCATGAAAATTAATCAGAATATAATTCATTTGGTGAAATATGTTGCATATCTTGCACAAATTATTTTGTACTTAAAATGTCAGGATACAGCGGATACTGAAAAAAAAAAAAAAGAAAAAAGAAAAAAGAAAGGTGAAACATTTCCAAAGTAACATTTGTATATTGGCATTTCAAAATTTCATTTTGTACCCCAGTAAGCTATATTTCCTTCTCTTTAAGCTAGATGAAAAATAGGTACATAAAACCAATTGTGAAATAATTTTTCAAAATTACATGAAGTTCCAGAGATGAAAAGTAGATATTCAGTCTTCTACCTATGGAGGGAAGCCAATGCCCAATTTATGACTGGTTTGTCTTTTGAACCAGATATAGGAATCAGAATTTGGTAGTCCAGGGATAATTTCCCCCTTAAAATAGAACAAGTACTGCCCTTCTAGTCTCCCATGGTCGACTGTTCTAAGGTGTGTACCTACCTGTTGTAAATTTTAACATTTTGTTGGGCAATCTGCCTTGGAAACCCAAGGAGTGGTCGCTATGAGTCAGATCTGACTCCATGGCAGTGAGTTTGGTTTGGTTTTTGGATTGTTTGGCTGGAAGCCATGAGAATGAGTTAAATTCCAGGCCCAAAGGGTCATCAGGGGTCATAGTCTCAGGGTTTTCACCAGTCTCTATCAGGCCAGTAAGCCTGTTTTTTTAAATAATTTTGAATTTTGTTCTACATTTCTCTCTCACTCCATCCAGGATTTCCTATTTTGATCCCTTTCCAAGTTGTTGACAGTGGTATCCAGGCACCATCTAGTTCTTCTTGTCTCACAGTCACATAGGCTGAGGTACACACGGTCTACTGGTCCCTTAGACTAATTGTTTCCATGTATCTTTGTTTTTCATCATTCGTCTTTGGTCCAGATAAAGAGAGACCAGCTGTTGCATCTTAGATGTCCAATTGCAAGCATTTAAGACCCCAGTGTTACTCCAAAGTAGGATGTAGAACAACATTTTTGCCTAGTATGTCATCCAATTAAGCTTGATATCCTCCATGACCATGGTCCCAAATTCATGGGCCAAACAACCTGCTCTCTCAGGGTGGTTAGCTGTGGCTAAGAAGTTATCATAACTTTGCCCCCCATTAGCTCTATTATATATTTGGACTTTCTTATAGCACATACAAATATGTATGTAGAAATATTGTCTGCCAAACTTATATATGGTTATGGGTATATTCCCTTGTGATTCGGAGAGACCAGAAGGGCAATATTTGAACAAAGAGATAGCTCAGAGGGCAGGAAGTACACAGGGAAAGGGTAACAAAAGGAAGAGAGAAGAGAGCTTTTACATTATGGGGATTGCAGTCAATGTAAATAAAAGAAAAAATAGAATAACAACAGGAAAAACCACAATGGCTTCTTTGTAAACTGTATATTTAAATGTGGGTGAAAGTTTTATAAGCTGACTTCATTACTCACTGAGCCATTTTAAGCAATGCCAAGTTGGAAACATAATGTTAATAGTAAGGGTAAGTGGAAACTTAGGTATTTTCAGGAAGCATGTTTTAAGAACTAGGCATGAAAAAAATACGGAAAGAGAAGATGCTTCTTTAGTTGTCTGTGCATGGCTCCTCCAGAAGTGACTACCCTTTTTCTACCTTCCCCCACAACCACACACCCTTTTTCTCGGCCCAAAACACATATACATAAACATTATATGAGAAACTTGCCATTTTCCAGTTTTCATTAGTTCAACCGCTTCACTGATTTTATCAAAATTCAGAGTATGGGTAATTAGTGGATTTAGATTTAACTTCTTTGCCATGTAATCAGAAACCAGCTTAGGAACATCATCTCTGCTCTTCCAGCCTGGAAACATACAGATTAATAATAAATTTTATACATGAGACCTCACTTGAAAAGAACAGTCATCCAGAGTAACTGCTGGAGGTGTTGGTTTTGACTGAGAAAGTCTAAGAATGTTCCATTAACTTGCTTCATTCTTCAGAATGCCTGTTCCAACCACATGCCTCATGGAGAAGGCTGTTTTCCTGAAGGAGACCTCTAGTACCATAGAAGAGAATTAATCAAGTAGAACTTGGGCCTTGTCTTGAAATGTTCTTGGTCTTAGGTTGTGTCTGTGGGAAGCAGTGAATCCATATATAATGTATAACAAAGGCCAAGGTCTTAAGAATCATGAAAGAAAGCAATTCAAAGGTTAGACATTTTCTCTCTGTGTGTGTGTGTGTGTGTGTATTTTGATTTGCAGCTTCACGAAAGAGCCAAATATCTTAAGGGAAGAGAAGAACTTCTATCATACAGTGAACCTAGTGAAAAAGAATGTGTACAAAGTAATATAGATAATATACACCTCTTGGAAGTAAGAATTGCACAGGCAAAGATAGGCTTAGCATTTTTTTTCCCCCTTATGATTTTCTAAAGAGAGTGTCCTTATATTCAACCCTGTTTTAAGTGACCAGAGAGAATTTGGTGGCTTTCTCACTTCTCCAAAAGGTAGTATGGTATAATTGTTCAAGGAGGCAACAATCTCCTAGGCAGATTGCTCTGTGGTAGGATCTTGGCAGTTCTTTACTTTTGTTGGTTCCAGCCTGGACTGTATTCTCCAGCCTTTCCAGTGATAGTCACTATTCTTCCAATGAATTTATTTTCTACTTAAGTTGGTTTCTGTTATAAGAAACAGTT